TTGTTACTAGCTAGCCACAGGTAGGCGCTATGCGGTCGTAGCCTGCAGCCTGGAGTTCTGTTATGGTGAAACCCCAGCAGCTTCAGCCAACTCACAGCTGCTGCTGCTGCTGCTGCTGCTGCTGCTTTGGTTGTTGCGGGGCTGCAGCTGGCAGCAGGTGCTGCAGCAGCGCGGCACTCGGCTGCATCAGTGGTGGGAGAGCGAAGGAGTGCGGAAGGCGCTGCGGCGTGGTGGCCCAGCAGCAGCAGCAGCAACAGCAACAGGTGCAGCAGCAGGTGCAGCAGCAGCAGCGGGAGAGTCTCCTTGCTGCGAGGAGGCATCTGTTGCTGGATTAGGGGGTGCAACAGAGAAGGAGACGGAGGCGCAGCGACTGAAGGAGCAGCAGAGACAGCAGCAAATAGCAGCAGCAGAGGAGACAGAGAGACAGAGATTAATAGCCAGCGAGCCCCTCCCCACCTCCCGTCGGGGGTTCATCGACAGCCCCAAATTCGTCCTGCGCAGTCTGGTATGCTGCATGCATGCATTCAGGTGTATCTGCATGCATGCATCCAGGTGTATCTGCATGCATGCACTCAGATGTATGTTGCTTGCATGCGCCTAGGTGTCTGGAACGCTGCATGCATGCACTCAGGTGTATCTGCATGCATCCACGCAACCACAGTGTCGCATGCATGCACGCAGGTGTCTCTGTATGCATGCACCGGGGTGTCTCTGCATGCATGCACCGGGGTGTCTCTGTATGCATGCACCGGGGTGTCTCTGCATGCATGCACCGAGGTGTCTCTGCATGCATGGAAGCCTGCACGGAGGTGTTTCTGTCTGTCTGCATGCACGTGGACTATGACGTAATTAGTTATGTATTTGTTTGTAGAGATGTATATAAAGAAGTGCATGCAGCTTTGCATGCGTTTGCTGCAGCTGCGGCAGCGCGAGTGGCTGCCCCCCAACAGCCGCGGCGTTGGTGTCTTTGAGGGGGAGACAGTTTATCTACGCAGAGATTTGCTGCTGCTGAAGACAGAGAGACAGTGGAGGCGAGAGCACAGACAAATAAAGCAGCAGCAACAACCTATTAAAACCATCACCGTCCGCAGGGCAAGCAACAAACACACTCCTCTTAATGCTGCTGCTCCTGCTGCTTCTGCTGCTGCTGCTGCTTCTGCTGCTGCAGCACACGCTGCAGCTGCTGCTGGGTAGCGATGGGCCCTCCCTATGGGGTGCCCTAAGGGACTGTCCTGTTTGTGCTTCTGTTGTCTGCTGCTGCTGTCTGCTGCTGCTGTCTGCTGTTGCTGTCTGCTGCTGCTGTGTGCTGCTGCTGTCTTCAAGTGTCTCCTGTGTCGCATCTGCTGTCTGCTGCTGCTGTCTCCGATTGTCTGCTGCAGCTGCAGCAGCCTTCTGCTCACTTGGCATCGCTAACGACAGCTCAAGTGCTGCGACGGTATCCACATTTGCTGCGGCAGCAGCAGCAGCGGCAGCAGCAGCAGCAGCTGGCGTTGCAGCAGATGTGGAGTCGCAAGCGGCTGCTCCAGACAGCCAAAAACCCGTGTCTCCGTGCAGAGCTCCAGCAGCAGCAGCAGCAGCCGCAGCAGCAGCAGCAGC